TGTCCAGACTAGTAATGTTTAAAGATTACAACCCTACTAAAGATTTTGCATTATTATGGACCAGTGCCTGCACAAAATGATCAACTCTGCATTTGCCGCCTGAGGCAGACACTTCACTCAAGGTTGTGGGAGGAAGCACTATTGTTACATATCACAGGTTCAAAGATGCTCATTTTAGATCAGCAGAGGAATTCACACTATTAGTTGAAGGGTTCCTATGGATGAGGAAAAAAAACCACACGCATACACTTCAGTCTCTAGAGATAAGTCTGCTATTAGGTAACTGCAGTCATTTTCTATATTTAATAAAAGCCTTTCTGTTTTTTGCAATATTGTGTACATACAGCTCCTCAAGGTGAATTATTTCAGGAGAAAGAATGAAGTAACAAATCTGAACAGTTCTCAGACTGATGCTTGCACTTACTGCTTCCCAAATGAAAGAGATGACAGTGCCAGACTCTCTTCCAGTATGAAATGCAGTCAGTTGTACCGAATATTTTAAAGTGCCAAAAATAGAAGCTTGCTTTGTGGAGGATAAGGGCTGGCATCAGCTGCAACTAAAGCATTTGTTACGGTTCATAAAATTGGCAGAAATGATTCAATTTTCTTTTTTAGAACACAGAGTATTTTTAAGCAGCTCTCCTCTCATAAGGCTTTTCCCTACTGTATTTATTTAAAAAGTTCATTAGCATATTAGACTCAGAAATTATTATCACAATATATCCATCTTCTTTTGCACATAGGTCAGTTCAGATGTAACGACCAATACCAGTTGTCCTTGCTCACAAAACAGTCTGAGCTGCAACTCTGTAGAAGACAGGCCCTTCTGTGACTGACAGAGAAGGGCAGAGAGACAGGACGTGGCAGCAGCCTCTAACCTACCATGAGGCTTCAAGGTGAGGTGCACATAGTGGAACAGCATTAACTGTTAGTGTCTCCAGATCACACTGCAAATGCACTGCATCTGACAGAAAAAGGCCACCAAGCTTAGCAAAGGCAGGAACAGGCCTCTCAAAGTCCTGCAGGTCTGTTTCAATCAACTCTCATGGCACGTCAGCCTATCTTCAGTATCACAGGTCTCCATTTATGCTCCACAGTGCTGATGCATACTGCTCTGTGAGGAGCAATAACTACATTTTAGCAGCCACTGGAACCCCAAGGACAGCCTTACACATCCGTGGTTTCACATCCCAATCTCAAGTTGCTTATTGCTCAATGCCAGTGCATACTTTCAATGGGCTTTGGGACTAGGGGAAGCTCAGATCCCACTACTATGGGGAAAAAAAAACAAATGAAAGAGAGCCCTCCTTCTGCATTTTTCCAGGATTCACTTTTACTTAACTAGATTAAAAGAACTACCACGTCCATGTCAAATCAGCAGCACAGAAAAAAGCACCCAGGCAGATCTGTCATTAACTTGAAAGTAACGAGTCTAGCTTTGACAGTACTTGAAAGGGGCACAAAGGTTTGACAAGGAGTAGGAAGCCTTCCATCAAACTGGATGATAAAGGAAAGAAAATGAAAATCAACTATTCACTCCACATTCCACAGAGCACGTGGCAAAATTACTTAAACTTTCAAAACACTGTTAATACAGGAGTTAACAGTATCATACTGGTAACTCTAACAGGGCTTTGGAAAAAACAAAACAAAACAAAGCCTATTTATTGTATATGTGATACTTTCTATATTTTATATAGGAGATACCTTAGAAGTTCTATAGAACTTCAGATTTCTGCTGTTTTCTACACAGTACACCTCTGCTTCTATTCAAACTAACACAGAGAGGAGAAGGACAAGTAACCCTCAGTTGGTGGCCTTATTCATCCCCGGTCTTGTCAGGCACCTGGTTGACAACATCCACTAGGAGGTGGATATTACGGACATTTTACAAAGCTCCAACTTACTAGTACAAGAGGCTGAGAAGAAAAAGGAGCAATTAATGATAAAAACAATAGTATTCAATGAAACATGAAAAGAACTCCTATGTGAGAAAGGAGGGAAGAGACTGAAAACAATAGAACTCTACACTGTCATGGAAAGACTGACAATTTCACATTATTATACTACAATCTACACTAGTAAAGAGAAGGTCCCTCTAAGAAGGTGCAGGTCTTAATAAATTGCAAGACTAGAAACTCTGTCAAAGCACTAGCATGCCCAGGCTATTAAGTGTTCCAGAGGATTGCATTCATTGGACCTAAAGGACCATCTTTCTGCATGCAGCAGAGAGTAACATTCATCAAAACTTTCACTGAAACCTTCTATCAAAGCAAATTATAATTAACAAATACATTTTAAAATCATATGGGAAAAATGACCCACATAAGTTATTTTCAAGTAAACATCCAGAGTGCATACTGTACAGGTTATTTAAATCTTTGCTTTCCTCAGCAAAGCAGCTTGTTCTGTAAACTGCATGACTACTACAATGTAAAAAAAAAAAACAGTCACATGAAAGATATAAAAAACATCAGGGAATAAAATAAAGAACAATACACTGCTACACACATAATCGCTGTGTAGAGGAACACAAGGGGAGATAACCAGTACTAAATTACCCAAAAAAGGATGACAGTCACAATCCAGTTAAAGAAAGAAAGGTTTGCTTACCCATCCCAAGGATCAGGGCTCACTGAATTCTCCAAAAGGAGGGATCTCTTCCCGGAAATCCCTCCCTTGTGGCAGCCAGCCCTTACATGAGGCTTAGGGAGGGGTGGAACCAGGTTCCAGGCCTTCTGGTTGCACAGATGAATTGCTTTCATCTGTGCCCCCAGGGCTGGCTGTGTCCTTTCACCAGGTGCTCAATCACTGGTTCAGGCTGTGATTTAACAATTCCCATACAACACTGACAATCCTGAAATAAACTGTAATTTAGATTTTGTTTGTTTGTTTGTTTGTTTTAGCATTGTAGACTACTTTAAGACCTCATGATCACTTCAGAAGATGCAAACAAAGTTATAGGATAAGGTTGGAAGTTGTTATGTTTGATAAGAAAAGGGGTATATAAGTATCAAAGAGATTCCAAATAAACAAGTCTCTATTAAAAAAGAGAAATCATAAAGACACTAAAAATGTCATACTATTTCTAAAAACAAGTATTTCTAAATTTTCAGGGTTTATATGAAAAGCAAGCAAGCAAAAATTTTAGCCTTGCTTAGCAATTATTTCTCAGCATACAAGTCATGTGAGCTGCCCCAACTCATGCAAGCTAGCTTATCATTAACACTTCCTGAAAACATGGACAAGTCATTTGACTCGTTTAGGTTGCCTAGATGCAGAAGAATCCAGTGACCGACCATAAAAATTGTAATACTGAAACTTTAATCAAAGGGATATTTATCACCATGCCTGGTATGAAGAAAGATAAAGTGTACTGCCTTCAGAATAGACTGGGAAACAACCTACTTTACACCTTCATTCAGCTTGACCTGATAGGTATATGAGGCAACTTAGCCATCTGCCTGACAAGGAACACAGATGCACCTGGAATACAAATAAACCAGCAAATTCTATCTCCCACACCTGTCAGGTATACCTTACATTTTTGTACAGGAGATAAAAAAAAACTGGAGACAGACTAGATGATATTAAACCTTACTGATTTATTCCTTTCCTCCAAAGGATACGGGCGAGAACAAAATAGGTAAGAAATGGGATCCACCAACAATATCAAAAACAGTATCAAAAGCCTCAGCTTTTCTACAGATTCTAACATGTTAAATGGCAGTAAGTGATTTTTTTGCATAAATTGCTCCCGCTTAAGTACAGTTGATTTTTCTGGCGTTGTAATGCACCAAGGGATTTAGACACGCTCATATAAATCTTAATATTTAAATACTATGTGATAGCACATGATTGACTGGAGCTGTTGGAACAGACAATACTGAATGTTTTAAATTATGCCTTTAAAGGTAATCTCATACTGAGGATATAAAAAATAATGTTGAAGGAAAAAAAAGTGTCCTGAAAGCGAGGATTTACTTGCTTAGTGTATAAGAAAAGCACAGCAATTCTTACAAGCATAGCACTTTAAAATGCAGAAATTGCAGAGACTGTACGTGTAGGGTCAGAAGTCCCAGAGAAGCAGGTGCTCTTTCAACATGCAGCTGCGGCCTCCAAAGCTTTAGGGGGATTTGGATGCTCAATTCCAATTAACATTTCAACCTGAAGCAGCTCCAAGAGCTCCACTAAAGTAACATCTGTACAAATAAAAGTTTATGTACGTTGGGTGTACTGCTCATCATTTTGCAAGCATGGTTTGAGTGTATTTAAGCTTGATTTTCAGCAGTGCTACAGGTCAATAATTTTTGCCCACATGCAAAAGCTGCTGTCTTCAGCAGTCTCGCTCATCAACTACAAATGCTTACAATCAGCTTTTCACTGTAAGGTTAAAAGAATAGCATAAATGATCACTTTTGCAGAAGACAATGTATGGTTTCATTTTTCATACAGAATCAGGCATCTAGAAGCATTATGTTATACAAATATGTATTTTCTTAACTACGTTTCTACTACAACAACCAGCACACAGGCAGTCACATGAACTTTTTCAATGTCAAGTTTCAGAAAAATGCATTCTCTTTCATGCAAACCTTTCCCTGAAAACTTGAAATAAGCAGAGCTGTTACCCAATATTCTACCACAGAAATGTTATCTTCCAGGGAGGACTTGGGATTTCAGGATCAAACCTCCACAACAATAATATTTCACTACAAAGATTTGCTGTTAGCATTCCAGTTTGACAAGAGCCTATTCAGGCAGGTTATATACACTATTTTACAAGTAATATTTGTAAAACAGGTTCAGCGCATTTCATTAAAAGCAAGATGCTACTACGGTAATTAAAAAAAAAAACACACACAAAAGACAGAGTAAAGAAACCAAAGAAGTGATCAAATAAAACAAGAAATAGGAAAACAGAATTTTAAAAATTCGCCAATATCCAGAAGCAAAAGTAACAGCCAATCTTGTAAATGAGTTCTGTTTGGTTGCATTACCTGTCGACTTCCCTGCTTAGAGGAGCAGCTGCTAGTACTTCTTGAAGGAGACAACATTTTCTGGGGTACACCAAAGTTTTTTTCTTCACTCATGATTCAAGGTCATTTATTTCACATCAGCTCACTTAGAATGTCATTAAAAGGTAATTAAGCAAATGTATTCGAAGACTCCTGAGAGAAATGCAGAACATATCCTTTATCCAAATGCATTCCAGTAGCATGATCTGCATCCCATAGAAATTCCTAAAATGAAAAAGAAAAAAACAAAATGCCGAATTTATACGACACAATCTTTTACTGCCATCCCATAGAATAAATTATGAAATCATAATGTAGCCTTTGGTAATGCAAGCTGACGACATTACTATACACTACTAGAAATTAACACAAAAGTCACTTCATGATAAATTTTCTATTATCAAACAGGACTGGTAAGAATTGCACAGTCAGTATTTATGCAGAAGACAAAGTGCAGCATCAAACATCATTTTTAAGACTTAAATTCATAATCCAGTGACAAAAAGAAGTCTAATAAAGACACACAGAATACACTAAATATACAAAAAAAGATCAAAACATTACTGAAATGAGGAGAAAGCATCTAATCAAATGTCTCACAAAAAGGATGTTAAGTAACTAAAAAAAATAAATACATTTTTCCAAGTTGTATGATAATTTAAACAAGTATGCATGGCTTCAGATTGCGAGGAAAAAATAACATACAATGCAAGCAATACACAGAAGTAGAGCGCTATGCAGAGCTGTTCATGACCACTCTTACCTGCAATCACAAAGTTGTAGCTATTGTCACATCACCCACCTGACTCAGTGACTGGAAGAACAACCAGCAGTCTGTTTAACAACAGTGCTCTTTGCAGCATATGCAAATAAAACCCAAGCCAGAAACTCCTAATAATGGATTTCCAGTGTGGGCAAGAGTTGTCATGGTAACAGCACTTTTTTAAAACGGAACAGAGGACATAACAAAAGGGTAATGCTTTACAAAACTTGGGGTGGTGGAGAAGCTTTATGAATTGTCTCCCACTTAAGATTTTATTGTCTTGGGCAAGGAATTTGCACAGGAGAAACAGTGCAAAACCATCACTGAGGAACGTAAGACACTTCCACAGGTAAGAAAAAATTAATTTCCAAAACAGGGAGGCATTACTTTACAACCCACCTTCCTGCTTGCACTGTGAGAAAAGCCCTGAACTAAGCTCACTGGTTGTTGAGTTGTCCATTCATTTTTTCTTGAAGAGTCACAAACACCTATTCAGAGAGAAGCAGTATCTTAAGATCCCTAGCAAAATATCTTCTGTTTTAAAAATTCTAGTTTGTCTTAAGAACAAACAAGCAAAAAAAACATGATAAACTGGTGCTGCATTTAAGACAGGAACAGCACTATGTTGGAGTTAACTGTGCTCGTAAGTGTTGTAGTCTGAGGTGTCCAACTTCTGAACAAAGACATTTTTCAGCCTACAGTGCCTCTTCTGCAACACAGCTTGCTGTCACAGTTCAGCCAAATTACTCTCTTTTCAGCCGGTCTTTTAGCATTTATTTTATCTATTTAGATATACTCAATTACCTCTAGAGTAGATCTATGCAAAGTTACAAACCATAGAATCATTAAGGTTGGAAAAGACCAGTATGATCATTTAGTCCAACTGTCAACCCACCCAACCATGCCCACTAACCATGTACCTCAGTGCCACATCTGCATGGTTCTTGAACACCTCCAGTGACAGTAACTTCTCCTCCCTGGGCAGCCTGTGCCACTGCAGCACTGCTTTTTCTGAGAAGAAACTTCTTCTATATCAAACCTGAACCCCTCCCCCACCAGTACAACTTAAGGTGATTACCTCTCATCCTATCACTGCTACCTGTGAGAAGAGGCTGACACCCACCTCCCCACAACCTCCTTTTAGGTAGTTGTAGAGTGCTGTATGGTCTCCCCTGAGCCTTCCATTCTCCAGACTTGAAGTGTGACCTCCAGTACTGTAGAAATAATCTCCAGTTTCCAAAAATCAAATGAGAAAGCAAGCTCTGCTAAGGCTACTTCACAAAGCCTGTGATCATGATGCAAGAGCCTAAGAGAAACAGGACAGCACAGTGATGTGATAACAAGACCTGATTTGGGCCTTGCACACAAGTTTTGCACTGAAATTACTGCTGAGATTAGGAAACTTGTGCCTTGGAGAAAGTATGGACTCTTCCTATCTGAAAGATAAATTTCTCTGTGGCACCAAGGACTAACTCTCCTAAAAGGTTTAAACCACTGAGAAAGCATAAACCATAACTTTATTAATTAGTTTCAAAGTGCATTTAGTAAAACAGTTAATGGAATATCTCTATTTATGAGCAGAGATCAAACACTCATGATAGGAACGTAAAAAAGCTTTCTGTAAACTCATAGTTCAAATATCCCCTCAAAGTTGTCACACAGCAAGAGTTTAACTACTGTTCACTACTCATCCAGATGCTACATGGTTCCCTTCACTGTTCCATGTCTAAAATGACTAACGTGATCAATATATCACCTGTCATTCATTGTTCACTACCTGAAATTTTGGCAGAGACTGGCACAGTTGATGAAAAGAAAGGCTCTAATTTGTGGCAAAACGCACTTCTTGTCCTCAGTACCTCATGAGCATTTCCCCAGAATATGCTAGATTACAATATGCTCTTCATTCATCTGAACACAGCAAAGTGGTTGTTACACCCTCAAAGCTTAAGATAATGGAAAAATAAAATGGAGGTCTCACCAGTGTTAATACAAAAAGAAGTGTGTAGTCAGAGGAATCACAGAATCACAGAGTTGTAGGGGATGGATTGGACCTCTAGAGATCATCTAGTTCAACCTCCCTGCTAAAGCAGGCTTCCTAGACGAGGTTGCACAGGTAGGTACCCAGGTAGGCTTAGAATATTTCTATAATCATTTCTTTTCTGTGGAATCTAAAAAAAAAAAAAAAAAAAAAAAAGGTGTGGCTACATTTGCAGATTGGAAGAACGCTGCAAACCTCCTCATCACCACCTCTGATCATATTTTGGGTTAATCTACAGGACAGTCTTGGAGTATGGACACCAGATTCCTTTTGGAAAAAGAACAGCAGATGTGCTCCAGGAATGCATCCAGTGATCACAACATTTTGTCCATGGCACCAGACCCAACCTCAACCTGACTAGTCCTATCTCAGTGCCAATGTGGGGTACTCACCATAAATGAGTCACCTGAAAAGGCCCACTTTTATTGCACTGCTCTGCTCACTAACGTTGATATGGTCTAGACACAGACTTTGGGCACTCAGCCAAGCACTTCATATCTCCTTTGGCAAAGTCATTTGTCCTTTTGTAATCAACAAGAGACGGGCACATTTCTAGAATTCAAATGAGTTAAAAGTGACTCAGCCGCATAACCCAGGGTCCTTAAGCAAAGGGTGGGAGACAGGTAGGATAAATCTGACAGAGAATGCCAGAAGTATTTTGAGAGTCCACTTCCAAAATAGGGCTTTTCAATTTTATTGTATTCCTTCAAATTAGTTTACTACATGGACCTAAGAAAAGGCTTTTTTTTTTTTACTGGCCCCAAAGAAGGCAAGAATGATGTGTGCCATTTGTCCAAAGTCTTATTAATATGTTATTAATGTTTCACACTAATTTAAATTATTACCTTGAGAATTCCAAATCTGAACATGAAATTTTATATGAATACTGAACACAACCCCAACCCATCTGTCAAAACTGTTGTGTCCTCCAGCAACTGCTTTGTGTTCCTTTTTTAAAATTCCATTCCAGCTCAGAAAGAAAAAAGGAAGACATGGCTGCCCTTCAACAATAACCAACTCAGGGCTTCCAGAAAGGTGTAAAAAAACTGATCCTGCATCCCAAATAGACTCATATTCTGGCTGTCAGTAGCAATGACTGAGCCTTTCTAGGATGACTCATATATTACCTGGAGAACTGAAGTCTACAAAGGTACATAAGCAATTAAGACTTTAAAGCAGGCATAACAATCAGGATTTTGCAAACTAAGCTAAAATTGCAGCAGACTCTCATGGTTTCAGGTCATCACGATCCATTTACTTCAGGTTCACTGCTCTCTGCTCCTCCCCATGCCAAGAAACGACTTTGGAACTAATGATACTTGTTCTCACCTTTCCTCTGAAGCATATAGCAACAGCTACTTTGCTCTGTTCCAAAAAGACAAATCAGAAGTGCAAGGCTGAGGCAAATTCAAATACATTTAGGACAGGAATTTTCATGAGTGCTAAGTATTGGCCTAATTCTTCTCTGCAGCAAAAGTAGGCCAAGACTGCTCCTGCAAATGACCTCAGCAGGTGAACTTTAAAGAACTAAGAAAAGAGAGAGTCCAATATTATTTATAGCTACTGTATCTTAAACCCATAAACAGCACTTTCCTCAACTTATTACCTGTTTCTAGGAGACTTATCGTTCAAAATCCATTAAGGTAAATGTAGATACATGACAATTGTAAAATAGAAAGACCTGAAAAATATAAATGTACTATCCTATGCTGTCCTCACTTGCACTGGTTTAAAATGACTTCTCAGCATCATAACTCTTTTCCAGTAATTCTCAAAGCAATAAGCTTACAGCAAAATTCCACGTCTCACAAAAGAAGAAAGGCAGAAATTTAGAAAATTCTGGAAATCTGCAGTACTAAATCAACATTATGCAATTATTTTTGTTATGGCTTTAGAAGAAAAAAGACTTACAGCTGTTTCAGAGCTGAATCAGCATCAAAAGTACATCTACAACTATAAGTGTAGACAATAGAGATTTTGTGGATAGAAGAACAAGAACAACAGAAAGTCTGATGAAAGCCATGTGGACACAGCAAGTGCAAGACAGCAATCTAAGTCAGAGTTGCAAGCAACACAGTGACTTCCATTGAATTAAAAAAGAATCCACACTGAAACCTTTGCTCTGTCTCTCTTATTAAATTAGGTTACATTCACTCACATCCACTTGGATAAAGAAAGCAATAGTCTTTTCAAAATAACGCTTTCATGGCTTTCTCTGTCATACTTCAAATTGTCAGCTTTAATCTATCCAGCAATCTCGTTTGGCTCAAAAACAAGAAGAAAGAATTATACACAGGCTACAGATAAGCCACGTACAGCTACTGCAAATGTCTTTTTCAGGAAGGTATTTGCTATTCCTGAATTACTGTAACATTCATACTGTTGAAAGGCACAGCACACAAATATATAGATAGATATATT